ACAAGGTATGGGCATTATGAGTTCGTAGTTTTGCCCTTTGGTCTCACAAATGCCCCTGCCACTTTCCAAAGAACAATGAACGAACTATTTCGTGAGTGGCTCGATAAATTTGTTGTGATTTATTTAGATGACATTTTGATTTTCAGCAAAAATGAAAAAGAGCATGCTGAGCACCTTTGACTTGTGCTAAATAAATTGAGAGAAGCAAAACTCTAAGTTAAACCCAAAGAAGTGTGAATGGGCTAAGCGTCAGGTGCTATACCTAGGACACGTGATTGATGGAGATGGGGTCAAACCGGAAGATGCCAAGATAGCAGCAATCAGAGATTGGCCGAACCACCGCACCTTGGGTTAGCCAATTACTATCGAAAGTTCGTAAGACACTTTACGATAATAGTTGCTCCCCTTCGTCGATTGCTTGAGAAAGAAGTAATTTGGAAGTGGGATTCAGACTGCACTATGTCTTTCAAGCGTCTGAAGAGGTGTTTGATCAATTATCTGGTTCTGAAAGTCGCAGACCCTTCATTACCTTTTGTGGTCACGACCGACGCTAGTCAATATGGTATGGGTGCTGTACTCCAGAAAGATGATGGGYATGGGTACAGACCTGTAGAGTTTGTCTTGCCGCTTACCTAACGAGAAGGTGGCCGCTTCAACGTATGAACGAGAGTTGTATGCTTTGCGTGAGGCTCTCAATCATTGGCGACACTACCTTCTAGGAAGGCATTTTAAAGTATACTCTGACCGCGAAACACTTCGCTGGCTCAAAACGCAGCCTCGAATGACACCTAAGTTGACGAGGTGGGTTGCGGAAGTTGATATGTTTGATTTTGAATTGAAGCCAGTCAAGGGTAAGTATAACGTTGTTGCTGATGCACTAAGTCGTAGATCAGGCTTTTTCGGTGCTATTGTGACCTATCTAGACGTAGATGCTGACCTACAAGACAAGATTAGGAATGCGTATCCCTCTGATCCTGTTTATGGAACCATGATTAAGCTAGTGCAAGAAAGGCCAGCAGAGTTTCCCGATCATAAAGTAACTCAGGGTCTATTGTTTAAACGAACTGATGTACATGATAGGCTGTGTATACCCAATAATGAAGAGATCAAGAGTATGATCTTGGGGGAATGTCATGATACAGAAGGCCATTTCGRGTGGAAGAAGACCTATGGGACGTTATTGCGTTCCTACACCTGGCCTCGAATGAAAGCGGACTGTATCGCATATGTGCAGGGTTGCCAAGTGTGCCAACGAAACAAAAGTACCACACAATCGCCCCT